ATGACGCATGGTATTTGGACGCATCTGCTCTCCACCGAAGTTAATGTGAAGGATTGGCGTATCATATACACGCAAAATTGGCATTTGGCGTATGCATTACACGCAGTTAGAAAGTGTAAAGTCATGTTAAATACTCAGATTGATGAGAACGGTTTGTTTGTTTTTAACACAGAATGTACTAAATGTTGGCCTACTTATTGTGTCCAACAGCATGATCTATTTAAGTCCACATATCAAACTAACTAGAAACCAGTGGGGAACTGTCAGGGCAACTCAGAGAGGGCCTAACTTATTGTAAAAACAATCTTTACCATTTTTAAATAAATGTTTTAAAATATAATATTTTTAATAAAAATAATTATTACTAATTTTAAGCAATTCATAATTTGACAAATATCATTTAAATAAAATAAATACAACTTCTGTGGAAAGAAAAAAACAACAACCGGACTCACTTTATATTAAGTGGCCTTAACAACTATGTACTTACATTTAAATTAATAATTTGGTACAATGCACTTATTGTGTACATAGATGTTTTTACATTGTACTAATATTTTAAAAATACCTGCATGTAATTATATCTGTAATTAATTTCTGTAATTACATTTATAATTACACAGTTGACCCATCCCTTACACCTTAACCCACCCTTGAACCTACCCATACCAACAAACCTGTCCCTAACCTTACCCGTATCTCACCTTAATAGCAGCAAAAGTGTTTTGCAATACAATATGAACACAATAAGTACATTGTACTTAAGTTTTTATGTAAGTACATAGTAGTTAAGGCCACTTAATATAAAGTGGGGCCAAACAACCTTTTCAAATCTGCATATTCAGTGAATGGACTTATGAACACCGCCCATTTTCTCTATATTTGAATGTTTCCGCCTAGCGTCTGCAGCTCTGTGATTGGAGGAATTTTAAAGATGTGGTGCGGCGCGGTGCAGGGCTGCATATGTCGTCCGGTGTGCAACCGACTTAAGGCTGGATATCCTCTTGTTTCATTGGTGGAATTGTCAAAGATGACTTTTAGAAGAGGACACTGTAAGCTAGGCTGGTAGTTTTTTCCCCCGAGGGTAGGGGGAGAGGGCCTAGGCTCAAGAGTCACGGTTTACTACTGCTAGAAACTATGCTTCTAACCACAGGTTGAGAGCTGTTTTTTCAACCACGTACATTTGCAGTGCTGTTTGCGAATGTTCTTTGGAACTATGGTTTTGGGAAACACAGAATAATTGCACTATATTGGTAACAAAGGAATTTGCAACCAGATGCAAATGCATGCATTCAATTCATATCAGATTTATTTCCACGTATGAATGAGGCCTGAAACTGACCATGTGCTTTTTTCCTGCGTACACATTCATGGGTTGTATCCGATTGGTGCCACATGGGAGGGAAAAAATCGGAATAGACTCTGTGCACAAGCGTAGCAACGAACATCCGCTGTCGCCAGAAGTCTGGATGTCAGCTTCCGGTTTGCTCTAGCACCGCGCAAAATGTCAGTGTTTACAAGATGTCTTCAAGATCTGCCTAAAATAAGCATTAGCGATGTACACCGCATCGTTGATGCTTGGTCCCCTGCTCCAACAAGCAAGCGGAACAAGGGATTCAAACTCTACATATCGAGTTATATCCACAACTACGAGGGTAAGTAGTTTAATCTAATGTGGTGTGCCGACAGCTAGCGGCTAAGCTAGTTAGCGACGTGTTTATTTTTTAGTGTAACGTTAGTATAGAATTATCAGCTGTATTAACGTTCTCACCCTCTCAGTTTCTAATAAAGATCAGGGCACAGGTGAAGTCATTGTCAGGTCATTGTGCTACAGATCCATGAGGAAAGCTGAGAAACCTCACAGTTTGAGTGTATGGTGACGCTAGGACTTATAAACCAACAGTTATAGGCTTGTTACTTTAATAACCCGGCGTTTCTAATGTTCCTGGGGATTTAGCTAAGGTAATTCATGTTTAATATAACTCTTAAGTTAGTACGTAAAATTGACAGGTGAGTATGCCTTGCTGGTCCCCATTCGGGTTACTGCATGTGTTCTTGTTCATGTTATAACTTTATTTATTCTAATTATTACTTATTAGAACCCGGTGTTCCTGATGTTCCAGAGGATTGAGCTAAGGTCACTCAGATTTAATGTAACTTTCAAATCTAATGAAAACAGTTTTAGTAGGCAGGTAAGTTTACCTAGCCAGTCCACTCCGGGTAAAATACGTTCTTGTTCAAGTTTTCCTCAACTCAGTGATTAATTTAAGACGTAGGGCCTAATCTTGTGTTAAAGGTATTAGGCTATCATGTTTCAAATAAACGATTATGGATTTTGATCTAAAGCTGTTGTAACATTACACAACATAATCTAATCCAACATATAGAAATACATGACATTTGGTCTGTTTGTATAGAATATTAGATCTAAAATATTTTAAACACAAGATTACGTCCTTGATTAAACTGACCGACCTAAGATAAATAAGTATTTACTATGATATTTTACTTGTGCAGGTGGTACTAAAAGAGTCAAGTCCTGTTGAGCTGATTCAACACAGCTGCACATGTGTTGCTGGAGCAGCATTATGCAACCGTTGTGTTGCTTTGCTGTTCCAGTCAGCACATTACTCACAGCTGAATGTGCCAGTGGTCCCTCCTGTGCTAAGCTATACTGAAGGGGAACAGCAGTGGCACAAGCCCAGAACTTTGGTAAGTTTGCATTATAAGTATAGACCTGTTGGCTATATTTTTGAACTATACTGAACAAAAATATAAACGCAACACTTTTGTTTTTGGCCCCGTTTTTCATGAGCTGAACTCAAAGATCTAAGACTTTTTCTATGTACACAAAAGGCCTGTTTCTCTCAAATATTGTTCACAAATCTGTCTATATCTGTGTTAGTGAGCACTTCTCCTTTGCCAAATTAATCCATCCACCTCACAGGTGTGGCATATCAAGATGCTGATTAGACAGCATGATTATTGCACAGGTGTGCCTTAGGCTGGCCACAATAAAAGGCCACTCTAAAATGTACAGAACAAAAGTGTTGCGTTTATATTTTTGTTCAGTGTACATTTAATTTCCAACTGTATCCTGAATAACTTGATAGGGTATAAAGCCAGGCCCTGTGGAAAAGATGGTTGTGCTGTCTGCTAAACCAAAGTCTAGAGCAACAACAGAGGGAGTAAGGTAAAAGCTGAATATTGTAGATTTTTTACAATATGTTGCATATTTAAAGTAAAATACCTGTGTGGATATGCCACTTTCCACTCATGAAATTTTATGTTCCACACAGGAGCACACTCTACAAAGGCCTGAGTGGAGATATGCCTGATCTATCTGTCCTTCAGGTAAGTAGGGATAAAACAATATAAAATTTCACAGTACAGTATAATATCCTATCAACCAAAATCTCTATACTAGTATATTAATATGTTTTTATGATCCTTTCCCTTTTGATTAAATGTACTGTGGCCCCTCGATTATGCAAACAAGCATTTTGCTTTGAAGAAAAAAAACTATTAAATTGAAATCAATGGGAGAATGTTCACACACGGGTCCTCTATTATGAACTTATTTTACATGCATAATGTGCAATATATTGTGAATAGGAATTACAGGGAAAGTTACAGGTATGATAATTGTGGTTGTTTTATATTATATATTATTATATTTAGTATATTGCTAATCAGTATATTATTATTTCCCAGGTGACAGAGGTATATAAAGATTTCCCTACAGCTGAGGCACCAATGATCTGCAGTATGGGCATCAGCTGTGAAATTCCCCTGGTCGACTCTGCCCTTGGCAAGGTTCAAGCCGGTAGTCCCTTGTCCTACCAACAACCTGCAACAGCAAAGAGAAACCTGTCCTTCCATGCTGCCCCACCACGTCCATCTGTGCCTCTTCAGAGTTACCGCTTACAGCAATCCAGTTGCATGTTTGTCTATACTGAACCACAACAGCTACACCATAGGAGTCTGGAAGTCACCTGGGACATGGCGCACAATTTTGAATTAGCTACCAGAGACCAAAGTTCATGTACTGAATGGCATCAGCTAAGAAGGCATAGACTGACTGCCTCACGTTTCAGGGAGATCTGCCAGGTTCGAGAGAACTCTGAAGAAAACCTGGCTAACCGGATACTGCAAGGAACCCGTCAGACGGCGGCTATGAAGAGGGGGCTCGAATTAGAGGCAGATGCTATCTGGGAATACTGCCAGATGAAAAGGGTGAACCACTACCCCTGTGGATTTGTCATTCATCCCGATGCTCCTTGGCTGGGGGCGTCTCCAGATGGGTTAATCTTTGACCCTTCAGAGCCATGTCAGTTTGGGCTGATTGAGATGAAATGCCCGAATGTTAAAAGCTATGTTGACTGCCCATATCTCAAAATGAAGTCAGACAAATTGGAGCTACAACAAACACATGCTTACTACTGGCAAGTACAGGGGCAGATGTTAATAACAGGAATGAATTGGTGTGATTTTGTAGTTTCGGCTGAGGAAGATGTACTCATTCAAAGAATTTACAGGGACAATGGTGTTTTAGATGTGATCAGAGAGAAAGTAGACAGGTTTTATTTCTATGTCTATTTGCAGAAATGTCTAATGCTTCAGGAGTAGGGCTGCAACTAATGTAAATAAAAACAGTTGTTAATTAATTTAATAGACAATAATAGATAACCAATCAACCAGTTGTGTAATTGTTGCAGCTCTATGCAGGATTGAAATAAAATGCACTTAAATGTTTTTTTTGTTTGTTTTTTTTAACCATTAAAAGTGAAAATTAAAGTTAAGTTATGATTGAGCACAATAAAAGTTTTTACCCCCCTCAAAAAAGACCAGTGAATTATTACTGTAACTAAATGATTACATTACCATGCCTGTGATTTTTTTATTTTTTTTATTTCGCACCTTTAATTTTTTTACAGAAGATAAATGACATCAAAGGAAATTTACAAAATGTTATTCTTATGAATTATGTATGTTGGACACTGAAAAATTGTTTATATTGATTTAGTTAGAAGAAGATACGGCTACAATATCACACTTCATATCTCCATTTCTTGACCAGAGGTCCATTTTGGTAATTCGAGAGGAGACAAGCAAATGTGAAGAGTTGGTTTATGCTCCCTGCAATGGAGAGAGGGATAGTGGTGTCAAAGAGTTTATTCTCTTTCACTCTTCTGATTATTCTTTCGACATGCACCCTCAAACGGGCAATGGACTGTGTCTTCAGAACATCCTCCTCTGATATTTGGGCCCGCTTGGAGAGGAAGGCAGGACGATGAACATTCCCAGGTACAAGGTCATCCACCAAGAATCCTTTGTCCACCATGATGGCCATGTCAGGCGTTAAGAGCGATGTAATCCCTGACTGACGAGACACCTCCCTGTCACTCGTGGAACCCTCAAAGAGCGCCGACACAAATGTAAGGGCTCCATGAGGGGACATGCCCACCATAGCCTTAAAGGTGCAGTGGGACTTATAGGTTGAGAAAACTTCACTCTGAAGGAGCAAGGATGAAGGTGTTTGACACCGTATCTCTGTACAATCAAGGATTACTTGCGTGTCGCTGTAAATGCCCTCAAAGTCATGTGGAAGACTGGCATTCACAGCTGCAGGAGACATCCATATACAGACCAAGCCCAGTAAGCTGTAGAGGAAGGTGGCCCAGGTAATGATGATTCGGCTGACTGTTGTTCGGTGGATATTAAATCTGTGACTCAATTCTCTCTGGGTAAAGCCAGTGGATAGGTATGTGAGGAAGAGAAAGAGCTCATCTATTGGTAGCAGTTTCTGGGGGAGACATGCTTAATGAGTGTTAATTCAAAACCATCCTTTTCATGCTTAGGGGTGTGGGTGTGGGGGGCTGTTGGTACTTACAGTTGGTCTGGTTAAAGGGCTTTCAGTTGTTGTGCTAGTGGCATCGGTTTTCTTTGACCTGGTTACTCTAACTATTTTGGCTGTTGCTGCCTCGATCAGGTTCCAAAACGCCATCAGATGCTCGTATGAGAAGAATCTAAAATACAGTATTACAATTGAAATCAGTTGTCCTGTCATACGTGCTCAAGAATATGATTAAGATGACAAAGAGAAAAGAATTACTTGGCCAGTTAATCAGTAAACAGTTATGAGTAGATGTTGATATTACAACTATCTTACCTGGTGTAAAATCTGATGTCTTCAGGTGACGAAGCAAACCGTTTAAGTCCAAAGGAGTGATGAAGATTAAATGTTTGGAGCTGCACTCTCAGTGTCTCGATTTCGCTCAACACATCTTCATACTGCTCCCGGTCCACACATACAGTACGGCTGGCCCCGTAGTCGTGGTCCACGACCATCGGAACCATCACAGGATGACCGATGTCCTCCACAGGCCCCGCCGAGTCAGGTCCCGGACTTGGCGGTCGAGATCGGCGTTCCCAAACACCGGCCCATGACTTCGTAGTGTAGCTATTCCACTCGAATAATGATGGAACAGAGCCTGCTGCTAAAACCCGTCTACCCTTAGCAGTAGTGTGGATTTCATTATCTTGAAAATGTCGGCTGCATACCTTGGTGTGGGGGGTCACCGAAAATCCCGCCCTCCTTATTTTGTGCAGCCATCGCGCACGAAGGCTGGTCTTCTTGGGGAAGCGGTGGAAGCTCAAATGACTGTTATATAGACCTGAAGCCGAGCAAAGTGGCACACAGCAGTGATTCGTAGATTTAACCTCAGTTCTCTGAAGTTTAAATAAGTCACGCACATTATATTTATTTTTTCGTACAGCAGCACTCATCTTGTTTGTTTACGGATGCGGATGAAGAGAGGAAGTAAACCGGAAACTGATATCCCGACTTCTGGCAACAGCGGAAGTTCGTCGCTACGCTTGTGCACAGAGTCTATTGGGCCACTTGAACCGTGTAGTGTAAATACAGCTTTACAGCCAGTCTTTTGACATGAGAATTGTTACCAGAGGTCAACAGATGTGGAACCTGTGTGACATTATGTTCTACATTTGTTGATGTAGAACACAGTGGTACCAATTCTGATGTCAAAAGACTGATTGTGAAGGCATTAACAAACTGAATAAATGCACTAAATAGATCCTCTTACAATATGTTGTTTATTTAAGAAAAACTAAATAAAGATCTAAAATAGAACTCTATTTTTTATTTAAAACAAACCTTTAAAGGGAGCTTTAAAAACTATAAAAGATAGAACCAATACACAGAGCTACAGAGAGTCATATTCATGGGTACATTAACTTAAACAAAAAGTCAGAACAACAAAAAGTGTATAGATTTGATGTGTGCAGGCCTTGTTTTTAATCTGGAATAGTTTACCCAAAATTAAAATTCTGTCATCATTTACTCCCCAGACAGCAACATAGTGTTTGCCCAGATCCGGCCCACATCTGGCCCATGTGAAATCCATGCGGGCCAGATGTGGGCCGGATCTGGGCCGAAACTGTCTGCTGTCTGGGTCACCATCACATAGTTTCAAATCTGTAGGAATTTCTTTGTTCTGCAAAACACAACATTTGATATTTTGAAGAACACCGGACCTTCACTGTATTGTCAAAAATGTTTGCATGCGTGTATGTATGTATGTATATTTTGAAATTTCTCATTGCATGTTCAGCATGAAGAAAGACGTGAATACAGGAATGCCGTGAGGGTGAGTAAATTACATTATTTTTTTTATTTTTTTTGTGAACTATTACAGTTTGCCATCGTTTAAATAATCTTTAGTTTATTTGTAGTTTATTTGCACAGTAGAATTCTCAGAATTTCTTCAATTACAGAAACATTACGCTCCACATGCAAAGCTCTAGTGTTTTGTCATTTTGTAAATCGTTTACTTTGTCCAATACATTTTTTTAATATTTGTTGTGGCATGTCAATAATTTCACATGACATGAAATGTTTACAAAGATGAATTCCATGAGAAGCTGAGCTGCTTGTCTAATAGAAGAAATACATAAAAATATGTATTTATTTATTTATTTTTTTTTTTTTTTTCTGGAATAAATTCTCCAAAGTCACACGCTTTACAGACAAAATCCTTTACAGGGTAACCAATTTTTCTATATTAAGTCAATCTTGGGGTTCGATCCTTGAATTAAGTTTTGAGGATGTTTTTTTCTTTTCTTTTTTAGTTATTAATAGTTATTAAGATTCAGGATCTGTCTCTTCCTATTCTTTTTCTTAGTCTCCTTCTTTCTCTCTCTTTCAGTAAATAGCACCTCCTTTATAACTAGTTCAGTTGCTTTGAAGACAGACAGACAGACAGACAGACAGACAGACAGACAGACAGACAGACAGACAGACAGACAGACAGACAGACAGACAGACAGACAGACAGACAGACAGACAGACAGACAGACAGACAGACAGACAGACAGACAGACAGACAGACAGACAGACAGACAGACAGACAGACAGACAGACAGACAGACAGACAGACAGACAGACAGACAGACAGACAGACAGACAGACAGACAGACAGACAGACAGACAGACAGACAGACAGACAGACAGACAGACAGACAGACAGACAGATAGATAGATAGATAGATAGATAGATAGATAGATAGATAGATAGATATTTGGGGTTGAACTGTTTTATTTTGTTAAAGAAACTTTCACCAAGTTCTTTGTATTTCACAGTAAACACTAGGTGAAGAAATGCAACTGTCTCAATTTTGCTGCGTTTGCAAAGTTGGCATAACTTATTTTTTCCTGTGGCAGCCATGTTTTCTGTGTCTGCTTATTTATTTCGCTAGGTTGTGTCTGCCAGAACTGTGTGTTGTCAAAGTGGCTCGCACATTTCTGTCAGTCACAGCGGACACACTTGCTAAGGTGTAAAGGTTTTTCAGGACCAAAGTTGCACTTGCATTTTACTGTGTGATTTAGTTTGCTTTTTAAATTGACATTTGTTGTGTAAGTGTGGTGGTGAGGAGACATAATATCAGCCTGCTGGAACATATTCATTGACAGACTCACCTCAAAAACATTAAAAAAAAACTAGATGGAATATGTTACCAGCATTTAGGAAGATATGAATGAATGAACGAACGAACGAATGGATGGATGAATGAAGGACAGCACACAAGTAATGGGATGACACTTTAATTATGTGGTGCTTTTCTGTTCACCTACTGTAAGAATGTATTTTTTTATTTTTATTTTTTTCAGCTCTCATTAAACCATCCTGACTCATCCTCTTGCTAAATGTTCAGTACTGAGTAAACACTAACCATTATATGGAATTGCATGCATCTTTCTGTTGATTTCTACATGTGATACAGCTAATGGATTTGACTTCAGCCCACTGCAAATGTAACACACTTGATGCACACACTCATTTGCAGAGATTCACTCTAATCACTCAGCAAATAGGGAACACGCAGCCCCCCCGTGCTGGAACAGGAGTCTGTCAGCCTAGAAATACTGAGTTAGTTAGTGTCTGTTTGTGTCTCTTTCCACTTCACATGAGTGCTCTGATTATGAGTGTGTGAATCATATACTGTATCCATTCAATTCAGTTCAGTAAAATATTGTTTAATTTTACCATACATATTTATTAAGCAGTTTATTAGAAAATGCAGGTTTCAATGTTACAATCAGAAAATATTCCATTATCAGTCAAAGACAACTGTGTCAAAGTGATGCAAATATGGCAGTAATATACAGCTATAAGATAAGCTGGAAGTTATGTGGTTAGTAAATAAAATGAATTCAGATAAGCGTGAACGTTTTGTATATCAATAGAAAGTTGGCATCACCTGAAGTCTTTGCAAATGTTGGCATCGTCAAAAAGTTTCACAATAATATATTTCTGATATACCTACCTTGAGGCATCCAAAATGTTTTATTTAGTATTATTTGTATGTCGTTATAGTATTTTCAATTAGCTTAATTGGCACCCCGAACGGGTACCGCTCTGGAGGCCCACTGTCCCGTGTCTGTCCTGAGGGTCCTCCAGAGTGCCCAACCCCCCTTTCCCCATTGGATGTTATATGGCGTGAGGACACGCCTTCCGGAGGGGGGCGTTATGTCAGACTCTGTTCCGTGTTTTATTTATTAGTATTATTTGTATGTCGTTATAGTATTTTCAATTAGCTTAATTACCAATACATTCATTTTTTATAAGGTTATTTGGTAACACTTTATTTTAAGGTGTCCTTTTTACATGTTACTGTCAGACTCTGTTCCGTGTTTTGTGGTTGTTTTCCTCATGTGCCTTCCTTTCCCATGTTTAATTTGTCCGAGGTGTTTCCCATTATGTTTCATTGCTCCCAGGTGTGTCTCGTCATCCCCTCCTCCTGTGTGTATAAATAGTGTTCCCTGTGTGTGCTCCAGCGCCCGGTATTGTTTGTGTCTACAGTGCTAGGTGTGATTCCCCGTGAAGATTAATAAATTCCTTGGTTTCTGTACTCTTGGTGTCCTCGTTCCTTGCTCCGTTTTCCCGCACCGTAGCAGATCGTGACAGTTACATGTACTTACTATTATAATAATGATTAATTATGCATAATTACATGCAAGTAACCTTAAGCCAAACCCTAATCCTAACCCTAACCATATAGTATGTACATGCAGTTAATATTTTTTACGCAGTACTTAAATATATAATTACACTGTAACAAGGACACCTTAAAATAAGTTGTTACTGGTTGTTTCTGTAACATTTTATGAGGCTCCATTTGTTAATATCATTTAACTAACCTTAATTAAGATTAAAGAATATACATTTTATATTATTATTAACAAATGTGTTGCTCATTGCTAATTAGTTTATGCATTAACTAATGTTAATTAATGGGACCTTATTGTAAAGAGTTACTTTTTTAAATAATAATATTTATATTTAATTTAAAATTGTATTTATTTCAGTTTTAGTTTTAGTTATTTTAATACTTCAACTTATTTCCAGTTAAGGTGCCAAGACAGCACTTCTAATTCAAAAGCATTTTCTTTCAAAACATTTTATTTTACTTCAGCTTTAATTCAAATAAATACAATTGTTTTAATGGTTTTATATTTAGTTTTAGTTAACAGTTACCAACACTGTGTCACGGTGCACACACACGAGGAACACGGGAACGAAGGAGCGAGGAGACACGGAGTAGAATAAATCAAAAGGGTTTTATTAACAAAGGCTGGGGATCACAGGACTCGACACATCAGGATGACGTTCAACGACTGACAAAGGACAAGAACTAGAACACACTTTAAATACACAGGAACTGATGAGGGGAAGACAAGGGACACCTGGAACTAAGGACAATTAACATTGGAAACACCTGGGAACAATGAATTCAAAACACGAGACAGAGAAACTGGATGACGGAGCAGATAGGGAGCAAAGACACACACAAAACCTGGCCCAGAGTCTGACACACTGACCCAAAACGCCTCCTTCAGGGAAAATAGTTTAATAAGCATCCTAAATAACAAGAACATCTAAAAATGGAAAAATAGATTTTATTAGTGAGAGTTTCAGGGATAGAGAACAGAAAGTCTCATTAGCTCTGTATAACAACAACAGAAGTCAATGGAAAGTCCCATCATGCTGGAAAAAAACTTGTGTGACGGATGTAGGCAGTGTATGTCTCTCCACAGTCTCTCCGCAGGCCTTCTGTCTCCCCCAGCCCTCTCCTCATGTCCTCGGTACCTTGCAGTATATCTGAACAAATCACTCAGCACTTCCCAAGCGCCTCACCTGCTGATCTCTCTTCTTTCCCCCTCTGCTCTCTCTACCCTTCCCTCTGGTGCTACCACTCTCAGCCCTGAGTGTGATCTGTTGTCCACCCTATTTCCAGCTGGCATTATTGATCGACACAGCTGGGCCTAATTATCTGAGTTGGGCTTG